ATCATTCTATCAGTTTCTAATGCTAACCAATAACATTTAAGGTTATACGATAATACAATAATAGAATACAAGATAATAATATAATAATATAATAATAATAATAATAAACTAATAATAACTAATAATAAACTTAATAATAAAACTAATGCTACAACTCATTCTATAACATTTCCATTCCCTTTAAGAATAAACTCTGTGAATTCTAACTTCTCTTAGCAACGTCGAAAAGTCTTCTTCATTTAATTCTTTCAAGTTACTAAGGTAATTGTTGTAGTGGAATAAAAATAAGGTAATCCACAAACTTGGAAAAGTTGATAAATCTGTTCAGCACATTTCTATACTCAGGCAGCACATCTGGATCCTAGAGCTTTCTTGAGATTATCATGAATCTTCTGTATCTTTTCCTTACTATTATCAGCTTCTTTCTTTAGCTGTTCTAAATAATAAGATGTTTTTAACATTTGAATCTGTTGATCACGTGATTTTCCATAGCTCTTTTCTTTTAATTAGCTAATAATTTCTTTAAGTTTTTCTTTAAAGTTTACTCTGATTAGAGGGTTGTGTTGAATAAAAACTTCTTCTTTTACTTCAGTAAGATCCTTAATAAGTTGAGCAAGAATTTCATTTTCAGTGTCTTGTATCTGTACAATATCTGTATCGAGTTGTGAAAGAAGTACATCCAAATCTTCTTCTATAGATTCGATAGAAAAAGTAAGATTGTCAAATGCTATATCTGAAAAATAATTATTTAACACATTGATATTTTCCAAATATTGTATAGATAGATCTGGTTCTGTTTCTAGAATATATTGTAATAATATAGATATCAGTTTCATTATATACTATAATAGAATTTTCAGTTAGGAAAATTATAAATGGCGACCTGTCACTATGAAGACCCTATATGCGGTGGCATCAGAATCGATCTGGATCTAGATCAACCGGTAGATCCAGATCTTTTTTTTTTTATTTTGTTGTTTTGCTTCTTCGCTTTCTTCGCTATATGCTAACTTTTTTTTTTTTTTTGGATTCCTTCTTTAGACCTACTTCTAAAATTGAATTGGATTTTAGATAAGTACTGGCTTATTTTTTTTCTTTTACTTAGCAGTCTTTTTTTTGTTACTAGCACTATGTTCTTTTTTTTTTTTTAAGTACTTTTTTGTTAAAAATCGGGCTTCGACTTTGTAGTCGTTTCAGTTCTAAGGGTGTTCAACTTGGTTTTGAAGACG